AGGCCCGCCGGAGCGGAGGTCCTCTCTCTGGGCCTTCAGCCAGGTGCTGTCGCTCATCCTCATCCTCACCCTCATTCCAGGGCTCCTGCGGCAGAGCCCACCAGTGCCCCGGGCACTTGGACACTGCCACGCGCCCCCTCACATCTGCTGCTTTATCGCACACCACGGGCAGGGACTTGCGTGGCAATAAGCGGTGACGAAAGGTGCATGGAGGGGAACTGAGTGGTGCTGTCCACGTGTCAGCTCCCGCCTCCGTGGCGTGGACAGCCTCTTCTCTCTTTCTCCTGTTCTTTAGCATGGTCACAAGCACCCAGGATGGGGTGTCACGGGATGCTCGTTGCCAGCTGCAGTGGCTTGTAACCTCCACCAGAAGGACAAGCAGGCCCACACAGTGATTTTTAATCGCTCACATGCAAAATGCTTCATGCAGCACGGCCCTGCAGAGCCCAGGAAGCTGAGGAAATGGGGGGACTCCCTTGCCCAGAGGGAGCTGGTGAGGGATCCGCATCGGGAGGAGATCCCAGGTCTGGAGCTGCGGTTTCGTTCAGGGCACCCTGCTGTGCTCCAAGGTGTTGCCGGTTCGTGCTCATTCTTACAGCTACATGCTTATTTTCTACTTGGCTAAGTCGTGTGAAAATATAAATAGTCTGCAGCCATCCTCGCGCCGCCTGCTTCGCATGCATGAGCAAAGAGGGGAATTTAGGATTTTACTGTAATGTCACATGCACAGAAGCCTGCTGAGGAGTATCGCGCTGGTGAGCTTTCATTCCACAAGCAAGAAAACAAGGACGAATAAACACAAGGGAGAGCAATGGTGCTCCCCCGCTCCTTGGAAGATCTGCTGGGCTTCTCGCAGCCCCCTCAGCGCCGCCCTCGTGCCCGTTGCGATGAGCGCGCAGAGGCTGCGCCGCGTGGCCTTGCCCGGCTCAGCCCACGCGGGGCTCCACGCAGCGCCAGAACACGCGGGCTCCGTTCTCGGTTCTCCGGCGCCGCGGGCTGGGGTCGCAGTGGGCTGCGTCCTGCTTCAGAGAGAAAGAAAAGAAGAAAGGAAGAGAAAAGAAGGAAGGAAGGAAGGAAGGAAGGAAGGACGGGCAGGCACGTGAAAAGCAGCACAGAAGCGAGTGGTCCTGCTTCCTGCTTCATCATTTTTTTGTTTCCCCATAACCCTTCTGGCCTTGCAAACAGGAACTTCATTTTGAGGCTAAAAATAACGCGTGACGCGCCGTACCGCTGCGGACGGGTGTTTCCAGCGGAGCGCAGCCCCGCCGGGCGCCGGAGCAAAGCGCCCAGCTTTGCTATATTTACATGTGAGCGGCCGTGGGGAGAACAGGGCGTCCCGGGGAGCTGCAACAGGATACGCTGCGCTCCGCATCCCGGGGCCGGCTCCCCGCGGCCGTTTCCCAGGGCGACAGGGGGGTGTGGCGCCC